CTTGCCGGTGCCCTCTTGGGCTTGCCAGACCCTTAGTCCTAAACCCATCACAGGCTTGTGTGGACTAAGTTAAACTCGAGGGGGCACATTCCCTTATGCCCGCATGGTGAATAAATTCACACGAAGACATAAGGTATATGAATCCCGAAGGCTACTTGCTAGGCCCGCACGGTGAAAATTCACACGAAGGCGTCGCTTTTACCCCCCACTTAAAGCAGGGTTTGGAGCTCGGGTTTAGAGCCTTAGATGAAAAATCTTTAAGGGTTGAAATCATTAAAAAAACGGTCAGTACAATATTTACTCGAAAATATAATCAAAAGTAAGTAATATGGATCGAAATGTTACCTTAAAATTTAAACTTACCATTTTCATTAAAAAGACATGGAAATTACCTTAGCCTGACTCACTTACCTGTCTCCCCAGCGGAGTCGCCAAGCTGTCGCAACCGTCTTTCGGTTGGGCCCGAAATTGGCTTCGACTTGAAAAATATGGATTGGTCGCCACCGATCATTTATTTAAAACAAATGGGTTGATCGGATACCCTATTTCTTACCTGATTGCGTCTTTCCAAAGATGTGCCGGGTTTCGGGAGTCGGTTACGGTCAAGGAAGGATTAGCACCCTTGAACCGTCCTTTCGGTACTACGTAATTTTCAGTTGTCTTTGATTAAGAAAATTGCAAGTTAAATTAAAAGGTAAAATTTGATCCGAATTACTTACCCTTAATGAGTTTACGGAAATACCCTTAAAAAATAAGATTTTAAAAAAAATAATAAAAGAAATTAACAAAACTAAAGAGTAAACCAAAGAAATAAATGAAACCAATAATAATAAACATAAAATAATTGGATGAAAAAAATGAAATTGAATAAAATAAAATAAATGAAGATAAAATATATACAAAAGAATAAAAAAGGTAAAGTATTTTTTTAAAAAGAAAAATAATAATAAGAGCAAAGAAACTAAAAAATAATGAAAATAAATAAATAGTATAAATAAATAATAAAAATATATATATAAAAATATAAAATGTATGTATAATATAATAAAATACTAAATAGTAATAATAATAATAATAAATGAAATAAATACATATAATATTAACTAAAAAATAGTAATCATAGAAAATATATATATAACGTTAGGAAAATATAGTAAAAAATAGTAAATAAGTAAACATAGATAAAAAAATAATAATAATTATATATATATATAATAGAAAATAATATAATATAACTCAAAGAAAAATGAAAAAAAATTATAATAAAATAATAAAATATAATTAAATATATACATATATACATATAAATAATAAGGGTTAAATTAAAATAAAAAATGAATTAGGGGTCAAAATTAAAAGTCAATCGAAGAAAAAAACGACAAAACACGAGGATCCACACGACCTGTTTATAAAAATCCGAATAGTTTTTCAAAAACACAAGCCTCGGGGACTAGATCTACAAAAATAGATCTCGAAAACGCCCCCGTTCATCGGCCAAAAACACTTCTCTCAGTTTTCTTTCGAAATCAAAACACACCAAGGGTAAGGAAAAAAATAACATGCGAAGGTATGAACTTTACCTTTCAAAATATAAATGCTTCGAAAAATGGCTACGAGTTGCTTGTAATTTTTTGCTTGGTATTTCGTATATCCTCCTCCGAATGTGTTACAATAGTGAGTTACAATGACTATTTATAATGCTTGTGGATCATATCTTTAGGAGTTTAAATAATAGTAGAACTCTATCATATTTTTAGGAGTTTGAATCCTAGCAAAATTCTATCATATTTTTAGGAGTTTGAATCCTAGTAGGACGAAAAGGTGTGGTGACAGCTGGTTTGGTTGAGAGATTTAGATTTCAGATTTTCTTTTACTTTAATTTATATACCTTCCATCTTTTCTATTGCTTCTTTTGTGTGTGTAACGATGGTGAGCTTTTCTATGTTTATACGGTATTTAGATTCTGTTTCACCAATTGTATTTGCCACTTTGTATTCTCTGAATGAACTCATAATCCCTTCAACACATTTTTCTTCAGAGATTTTGCTGGTGATGGATGGGCTAGAAATGCTGCAAACGAAGCAATGCAAAAGCTAATTGAGATTGAGACGATGCAACTGATTTTTAAAGATGATTCCGCTGATGGTTTGGAGGAGGAGCCATGTGAAAATAAGGCAAATGAACTTGTTCCGGATGCTCATAGAAGTAATATGAAGGATTCTCTAGTGTTGGATGAGGATTCAGCAACCATGGATGCAGTTGAAGTTGACATTACAACAGAAACAGCAATGAAGGCAGAGATCCCTCCTGGGGTTTCGGCATCTCTTGATGATGCTGATGAATTTTCTGCTGTTATATCAGAAGTTGTGGACACTGCAAACGACATTAGTGAAGCATGTTTTTGTTTACAGGAGAAAACTGATTTCCCAGATCTGTCCTCATCTGATGGTACGGAAGATGCCGGCAATGAGGCCGGTGCCATTGATCCTAATGTTAATGAGCTAGAATCCGCTTCAAAGCTAAGTGTTCCTATGAAGGAGGATGCTGATGCAACTGATTCTGCAATTAAAGAGGTAGATGATGATGGAAAGAAAGTAGCCAGGGATTGAACCTGCTTATTACCTGATTGAAGCCATTGAAAGAAACAGCCTGGGGACATCTGATTCCATAAAGAAACTGGTAAGAGGGAAATGAAATATGTACAAATCATCATCAGGGAAAAAACCCCATAATAGAACTTGAGGAGATTTTTGAAGGGCATACTTAATTCAACAAAAACAATAATTTATACAGTGGGTAGCAGGGCAACTTTAAATGGCTCAACTATTTGTTCTACTACATGATTATTTTTTTTCTATTTTCTGAGAAAAAGGTATATGGTTTTCTTGTAGATAAATTCCATCTCTGGTGTAACTAGAACTAAGAAAATCAACATAAACTGAACACAGGTCATAATTTAAAAGTTCCATTTTAAAATTACTTGATATGGTTCTCTAATAAGATAACTAAACATATGAAAAACTATTCAGATAAAATCATAATAAGCCTTGTTAGCAAAGGGGTGGTGGCGCAGTTGGCTAGCGCGTAGGTCTCATAGCTGGTTGAGTTATCCTGAGGTCGAGAGCCGAGCCTCTCTCACCCCATTGTCTCTTTTTACCTTTTCGTTGCGTTGTTTCTGGAAACAAACGCAAATTAATCGAAGTAAATTATTTTCATAATCATTAATTATTATTTTGAACAACTTTATATAATTTACTTTTTTTTCCTCAAATCTAGGAATTAATTATTCATTATAAGGTTTAATAAGCTTTCGATCTTGGCATAAAATCAAATAATCAAAACGTATATATGGGGAGATTTCGTGCATTAATTTCTAACATCTTGATCAAAATCGATGTTTGATCAATATAAATAAGTTTACTTTTATACTTTGGGATGAAAAATAAATAAAAATACAGATTATCTATGATTGAATTTATAAATATACATTTGTTATATATATATTTTACTTTGTATCTATATTTTGATAACGTATATGATGTGACGCATTCGATGTAATTAGGGATGGTTTGATGTTAGGTCAGATTTTTGGATGACATGAACTTGAATATAATACCCACCCATCCGTCATCTTATTTGGGTTTAGGAAAATTTTATTCGATTTAAAATTGAATTTTAAGGTGAAAAATAGTACTTAACTGGACACACACATATATATAATTTTTTATTTTTATTAGGTAAAATAGAGACTAATTGAACAAAAATATAGATAGAAAGAGATTATAACAATTATTTCTAAATATATAAAGATTAATTATAATATTATTCTTATATCGAATATTTTTCATCTTAAATCTGACTCAATCTTATCCTTAAAAAAACTCAATATGAACCCAAATTTTCAGAAAAAGGGAAAAAAAAGGTTAAAACTCATTAGATTCATATTAAAACTTAAAAAGTTGAGATCAAATAATCATCATTAAATACGATATATGTGTTGTTACCAAATGTCCAATACCATACATATTACATTGCGTGATTTGGTAATAGTGATAACTTAATTTGAGTATCCGAATAATACACAAAATGATAATATGAGTGTGACATTTATAAATATTGTTAACTCAAGTACTATACTGATAGTCTGATACATAAAATGATAATTCAAGTCCATATTAATACATAAAATGATAATTCAAGTATCATATTAAATATTTTTAAAAGTATAAGTATCATATTTTTATATTTTATTTAAAGATAAATATCATATTAATATAAATGGGCATTTTTCCCGAAAAATCACCGGTGACCGGTATATTTACCGATCTAACACCGGTTAGATTATATTTCCCGATCTAAAACCCGTAGTAGTAAAGCGCGCTCTCTGTCCCGCACTATATGTTGATTTGACGCCACGTGGGTATAGCGTGCCCCATGTACCGCGCTATACTCTGACATGTCTTATACGTGGGTATAACGCGCCCACTGATCCGCGCTATACGCCACGTAAGGGGTATAACGCTGCCCCTGCTTAGCGCTATACCTGGGTATAAATTATATTTAGTGCAGGACCCTGGTTTCATCGAATTTTAAGATTTATGGTAAATATACCGATCACCAGTGATTTTTCGGAAAAAACGTATAAATACCGTATTAAATATTTGTTAAAGTACATACCAATTTTAATTAAATAATATTTAAAAATGTTTCATGACTTTATTTTTTATACTTTTTTAATTAATACCAAAGAGAAAAGAAAATGCGTGACGTGGGGGATAATACCAATATTAACGGTCAAGATAGGTTTATTATTTATTTTTATTACAATTAATTTTTTGTAAGTGTTAACGAAAAATTAGAGGCTGTAATCCACAATCATGGTTCGTAACGGTCACTTCCTTTTTCCCTCTCTCCCAAGTTTATAAAGTAATATTAACAAACAAAAAAACTAAACTTTAAAACTGTTTTGTCCGATCCGCTCCTTTGTTCCTTTCTCTCTCCCAAAACGCTCCTAGTGCTTCATCTCTCTCTATTCTAAAATCATGAGAACCCACCATTATTAACGCCAAGAAAGAAAGCCCCAAGACAAAGTACAAGTTTTTCTTTATTGTTAAAGAATCAAAGAGAGATTCTTGCAATGGGTTGTTTTCTTGCTTGTTTTGGTTCCTCCAAAAACCGAAAGAATCGAAAACTAAGACACAAGGTTCAATCTCCATCTCAAGTAAGTTTTTTTTTGTTCTTTCTTTATGGGAATTTTTTTATTTTACTTTATGTGGGTATTTTTAGTCGCATGAAGCTTATGATTTCGGGTTTTTCTTTTCTCCCCAGAGAAATTTAGTTTACAGTGTGCAGTCTACAGTTTCTTTAGAACAGAGCAGCTTGGGAACCCCTATCAAGGAAGTCCGGTGAGTACAATTATCGGGTTTATTATGTTTAATTCTTCTTTTTTATGTTTGAAATAATGGGTTAGATTTTGATACAATTGTTTTTGGGGGTTTGATTTGGGGGTTTAGAGATGATAAGGCGGAGGAGCAGCTTGGTTCGGGTTCCGGGAAGAAAGTAACTTTTGATACTAATGTTAAGACCTATGAACATGTTTTAGTTGACGGAAGTACTGATTTTGATTTGCGTAATGAAGAGGAAGGGGAAAAGAAATTGAAGGTGAAAGAAGGGGAGGATTTGGCTAAACCAAGGGAGTCTGAGAATTCCTCAGAGTCTAGCTCAAGTTCTTACCCTCCTAATCATAGGTATCAGAATTGTAGAGAAAGTGATGATGAAGAAGACGATGAATTGGACTACGAAGAAAGTGATCTAGGCGATGATGAGGACGATATAGAAGATTATGTTGGGTTCAATGATGAACCGAAGTCCATCGATTTCATTCGAGGGGGTAGGGACGGCGATGTTCATCCGGTGCTGAAGCCGGTTGAAAATCTAGATCAATGGAAAGCGGTAAAATCCAAAGGGTCAACACCATTGAAACAGAAAAAGGAGAATCTCAGCTTGGAACAAGAAGAGCCCCGGCTTTCGACTAGCTTGACCCGTAGTTCCAAGGATCGGTCATTCAGTTTCAGCGAAGAAGTATCAGTTGATGCAAGCCTTTCCAACTGGTTGTCTTCAAGAGAAAGCACACCGGCGAAAAAGAGTATCACTTTGGCTGCATGTACTCCAGAGAGAAGCGTCTCGCCAGGTTCGATTGCGATGAAGATGAGCCCAGAAGATAGGCCGATTTTGGGCGCATTAACTCTGGACGATATCAACAAGTTTTCAGCATCACCCGTACCAAGGAGGTCTCCAAGTAGAAGCCCGGATGAGATGCCGATAATCGGAACCGTTGGAACCTATTGGAATCATGAGAGCACCACCACCACCACCACCATTAAGGACTCGGCTGCTTCTTTCAAAGGAATACCAAACAGTACCAGCAAGTATAGAGAGGTAATAAACTTTTACTTTTGTGTTTCACACGAAGGCGTGATAGATTTTGATGGAATTTCATTTGGGTGCATGCAGGATAAGAAAGTGAATTGGCATTCTACGCCATTTGAGAAAAGATTGGAGAGAGCTTTGAATGGAGGTTTTGAGGCCCAACTCCAATGAAAAAGATATGTATTGCGAGTGTTATTTTTTTAGTGTCCATATAATCTTATACTTGTGTTTATTTTTTCGTTTTAATTATCGATGTGTGATCTATTGATCGATCAAGTATTGAAGAGTATACATGTGTTTATTTATTGGTTGGTGTAATTCTTTCTTGTTCTTTGTACTTTGGGGATGTTAATACATGTAGAGAATCCCTCGTTTGAGTTGCATTACTCGTCCATTTCAATCAGTCTGTACTAGTTGGTATAAGATTATTTTCATGTTATCTTAATTATTTTTCTATTTTTATAATTACTGTTTAAAATGGATATAGTCATTTTCATGTCTTTTCTGCTTCAATCATGTAATATTGTTAAAATTTTTCAATTTTCACTGATCTAAACAAAGAAGCTCGTTAAGAAGAAGATCAGTGATATTAACGCACAAAACTCGACCCTTAACCTTCATAACCATTCATCAACAATCAATTCAAATAAGGATCAATAGTAAATAAATCGAAATTAAAGGAGAAAGAGATAAAAGAGTAAAACTAGAAAAGAGATCCATCTTCCTCAGTTTATAGAGAATCCCATGCTACAATAGTTTGTCATAAAATCCGAAAAGTTAACTGATAGTAGAGGCCACTAGGAGAGATATAACACAAATTCAAGCCGATCCAATAATCACCAATGGAGATATGACCAAGTTTGGTTTAGGACTTGGATTTTTATTTCGTGAAGTTGTTTCCATTGACTGTGAAGTTTCGAAGAGCAAAACCAGTGCACAATTCGGGAGATAATTCCCCGAAAAAGCTGTTGTTGGATAAGCCAACATTTCTCAGCACACGACTGTTCTTCCCGAAATCCCGAGGAATGGTACCCCAGAAAGAACATCTAGAATTCTTCCAAGTTGGTGAGGCTGGAAATTGTGTCCGGTAATTCCCCGTGCAAGGAGTTTGTGTTTACACCAAATGATTTCAGGGGTGTCATGTTTCCAATCTGTGGTGGAATTGTACTACTGAGATTATTAGAGAAAAGCTGTAAGCTTTCAAGGTTTGAAAGAGTCCATATCGCCCAAGGATTTGGACCCGAAAGATGATTCCCTGAAAGGCCATAGTGTTTCATTGTTCAGGGACTTCAACTGTAACACCCCAACCCGTATTCAACCCGAATACGAGTCCGAGGTGTCACATTGACTTTTCAAAACATTTACTTGTATAAAATAATGAATAATTTAAAGTTTTTATAACATATATCTTATTCAAAACATTTACAGAACTAGTCAGAGCTTATACAATATATTATTTTGAATATGCCAATTAGGACTTAATATCTTAAAATACATATTATTCACCTTTCTTCTGATCTGACCTTCAATAAGGAGGACTGACTTGTCTTGCTCAGGTGTCACATTGACTTTTCAAAACATTTACTTGTATAAATAATGAATAATTTAAAGTTTTTATAACATATCTTATTCAAACATTTACAGAACTAGTCAGAGCTTATACAATATATTATTTTGAATATATGCCAATTAGGACTTAATATCTTAAAATACATATTATTCACCTTTCTTCTGATCTGACCTTCAATAAGGAGGACTGACTTGTCTTGCTCCACATTGCTCTTTACTCTTCTCACTTCTGTAACCTACGTGTGAAACAATCACACGCTAAGTATATGACTTAGTGAGGCATAAAAAAACACATCTAATGAAATTCATGTCCACTAATCATGCATGACTGTTTTATGCTATCAAATTATACAACTCATATATTTTTCTATATATAACAATTACATACTTGTGTACATACATGTCATCATTTATATTTTGATCATATTCTTATACTATTATTCTTCATATCTCTTACTTATTGTTCATATGATCTTTTACGTTCATATTATATATCTTATACAAATTCTTATATCATCATATAAGTCATTGATACTCATTCACATATACATCCACATATATACAACATTGTTTTTACAATTATCTCTTTATTAGCCCATGTACACATTTGAGAACTATAGATATGTGAGCCTATAGAGGTTGTGCACTAATGTTGTCACCACAGCTCGTATAAATGTACCGAAGTGCCCCGTAGAATTGCACCGTAGTGCCGCGTAGAAATGCACCGAAGTGCTATATAAGGTTGTCCCTACGGACCACGTAGAAAATTCCTTAAGAATCATATGCATATGCCAAGGATCAAGTATGTGTCTCAAAAGACCTCACACATGTTCCAAAGAATACATATATGTCCCGAAGGACTGCGTAGACCCTCGACTCTTGGCATGCCAACTATACATCTAGCTCTCATGTCACACAACATGGGCATTAATATTTATGTTATCATACATTCACATATACACATAGACTCATAGTTCTTTCACATAGCTCATTGTCATATAAATCACATATCACATATACATATAGACACATGGTTCACTTACGCGTAGAACATTTTCATATAATTCACATATCACAAAGCTTTTCACATATAATTGTATTCTTTTTCATATAATCACAGAGTCATATAATATTTCATATGACATATACTTTCTCTTTCATATATCTCAGGTCACGTATCATATCTTGTGATCATGTAATCATGTTACTTATAATCACATAACTTCTACTCATAGGGTTCAACATCATTAAACTTAGCTCCCTTTCCATATGATCATTCATTTATATAATCTTATATATTCTATCATTAACCTATAAACTTACTCATATACTCATATATACTCTTTAATATAATTTGTATAATAAGGTTCTATAATTGTATCATATACTGAGTTTACCTAAGTCTTCCTTTATAAAGTTTATACTACAAATTCAAATAGTCTCATTCTATCCTATGCATAGTTTCTACTTATCTTATCTCAATTCCCCTTTCACTCACATTCTATATACTAGTTTTATCTATTTATTTAATTCAATTTCCATGACTTCTATAATACTCTTTCAGAAGTTTGTAATTCTTCACTTTATAACTCATAACCCGTAGTTTCCTTTAAGTATTTAAATCTTCCCTATATAACTTATGTATCATTACTTATGTTTATGCCCTCAAATTCATACTATCCTCATAGAGTCTCTTAACCTTTCTCGTGTAATCACTTATACCATATAATATTACTTATACTTGGTTATCTTACGTTCACACACATATATACATATGGATATATATATATATATAGTTCATTAACTTATAGCTTATGTCACATGTTCATTTCATTCTTTATGTCTTTATCATATAACTTTTTTCATGTTCTTCCATTATTACATAATAATGTTTTACACAAATCATATAGCATATACAAAGCATATCAATATCTTTAGTCATGCATACATACAATTAATGTAATACAATCACATATAGCACATATAATCATAACACCACATAATCAGTTCATGACTTCATACATATTGCTTTAGAAATAGACTCATCGCAAGTCTATTTCCATTAAACACTACATGTCATTGCTTTAGGAAATAGACTCATCGCAAGTCTTTTTCCATTAAACACTACATGTCACTAGTATGCACTCACTTGGCCTCACTAGTCAATGCCAATCTCTTATTTTTCCCCTAGATCGATCTTACTTGTCAATGATTCCGGAACTCGATTAAGCTCTGAATCTATATAGTAATATATTGGTACATATCAGTATACTAATTAATATATTCTAAACTATCAATTCTTAGGCTAAAGGAAATTGTTTTCATCTTTTAATAAAGGTGTGCATCGATGCACTCTACAGTGTATCGATGTATTCCTTAACGGGTGCATCGATGCACTACCCGTGCAACGGTACACAAATCACCTTCGATGTTTTATTCTTAAGGGGATGCATCGATGCACTCCTTATGTATCGATGCACTAGTTGCATTCGATGTTTATTCATTTGAGAGTGCATCGGTACACAATGAATGTGCATCGATGCACATAACCCAGAAATTCTAGTTAGAGCACAAAATTCACTTTCTTTTCAGCTCAAATCTTCATATTTCGCCTCCTTTAATATTCCTAACTTCCCTACACATACTTGCACTCATTTCTACTCAATAATCTTAATTAGATTGATGAAGTCAATCACTCTGAAACCTCATTAAAGAACCCTCTTTCAAGATTTCACTTATTCCTCTCTTTCCTTTAATTCCCTTATTCCCTTCATTATTGTTCAAAACAATTTAAGCTCCTTAAGCTTAATTATCACTTAATAATCAAAACTCAACCTTAAATTTAACCAGAAACTCAAAAATCAGAAAACTCACCTTTAGCTCTTGGTTTTCACTCGTGAAGGAAGAAGAAAGATGAAGAGAACTCTAGAAACCACTTTGTTTCCTCTTCTCTTCCACGTGTTTAATATATATAACCATTTTTAATTATTTTCCCTGCAAATGACCCTTTTTCCCTTCAATTCATCTAATAATTACTAACATCTTTCAAGTAATATTTCCAAATGATCATTGAACTATTTCATTATTCTACTTTAGTCACCAACTTCTGAAACTTTACGATTTAGTCACTAACCCATAGTTTAGGATGTTACATCAACTTTCCGATTTCCCAAGGAATTGGACCGCAGAGTTGGTTGATTGTAGAGAAAGAGGAACAGGAGCTTTCTTAATAGACTGATTTCTGGTGGAATCTTCCCTGTGAAAAGATTGTTTTGAAGTTGCAAACTGATCAAATTGGTCCAACTAGAAACCAGAGAGAATTGAATCTCACCGAAGAATGAGTTTTGAGATGAACCCAACTCGGTTAATTCTGTGAGTTGTGACAAGGACAAGGGCAAGTTGGTTCCCAGCTAAGGCCAGAAAGGTGAGGTTAACACATGAACCGAGCTCGGATGGGATTGTAGAGTTTAAGCCAATGGAATGAAGATCAAGTCTCTTGAGCTTTCTCAATTGGCCTAAAGAAGATGGGACCTCCCCTTAAAAAGAATTTTCAAACACTTCAATAGTCTGAAGCTCAGACATGGTTCCTAAACTCTCGGGAATCGAACCGTATAGCTGATTGGTTCCTAGCTGAAGATATATGAGTTTTGAAAGCTTAGAAATATGGGAAGATAATGGCCCTTCAAAGGCATTATCAGTGAGATTGAGAGACACAAGCTTGGTGAGATTTGTGAAAAGTGATTATGGTATCGGACCAATCAACTTATTCAAAGACAAATCTAGGAAAGAAGGAATATGGAAGTCGAATATAAACCGAGGGAATTCCGATTTGAGTTCATTGTTAGCAAAGCGGAGGTACTTCAACGATGGCATGGACAAGAAACCAGACCAGTCTGAAGAAACAAAGTAGTTGTATCCGAGGTCGAGGTGTCTTACATTTTGGAGATTGCTAACTTCAGGAGGAATTGTTCCACTGAGACTGTTGTTGAATAAACTCAGATATCGAAGCTCCCTTAACCGACCAATCTCCACTGGTAGCTCGCCTTGAAAAAAATTGTTGCTCAAATCCAACACAACCAGCTTGGAAAGAGTACCGATCGAAGCCGGTATCGGGCCATCCATGGTGTTGTTTTTTGAGGTCGAAGTGCGTGAAGTTGGAAAATGGGTGAAGTTGAACTGAGAATGGAACCGAACATGTCTGAATTGGAGAGTTTGATTTGGGAGACAGTTGCAGTGGCATCATCGCAGGTAATGGAAGTCCAGTTGCAGAGGTTGTTGAGTTTGGACAGCGACCATGAGTAAAGCGAAGGTGGTGAAGAAGGCAATGTGTTCTTCCATCGGATGAGTGCCTCCGCTTGTGTTCTTTCTGAACAGGTGATCTTCAATGGCAGTAAAGAAAGCAAAACAACGTGAATGAGAACGAGACGGATTTGAAAATTTTGACATGCTTTATTTGTTAAAGAATTTACAGGTTTAAGGTGGGTTTGGAAAATCCGGCATGCTTGTGTTTTTTCCAACTCGGGCCAATTTTCAACTTTGACACCGTATACGTTAAATGCAGCTGATTTGATATTACTGAATGATGATATACGCAGGAAATGTGAAACAAAGGGTCAATGTCATTTACCATATTACACACTCGCACATGGCTATGGTATTCATTTTCCCTTTACTCGGAAGGAAATACAAAAAACATATAGACTATGATACATTGAAGCCATGTACAAATCTCGGAATGGGAATTTTATTCATGTCTTTCAACAAGTTTATGACAACTAAATTCCCTAAAAAAATCGGGCTCCTTCACTGTCTTAACTAATGCAGTTTGTGCAACCGGTGTTTATATAATGCACCTGCATTTTTCATTTGATGAGGTTGGAGTCTGGATAATCAAACTCAACTATTTTATAAGCGTTTGTTCTTCTAGCTAAATACGGCAGTGCTGAAGCAAATTGTTCACAAGGATTTACATGAGGGAAGAGGACCTTAAAACTTCTAAAGCTCTAACTTATCTAAACTTGGCTCATCTTGGGCTCATCCATGAAATAATTATGGTAGTCAATTTAAAGCTGCCATATAACTTATTCTTCAATTCTTGGGCGCTTTGAGGTTTGTTGTGAACTTGACTCAGAAACACGGGTTTTGGGTTTCTCTAGATCACCTGTTTCAGGTGCCTTATGCTCTCCACAAATTTCTTGTGGACTTCTTTCCAACATGGACTTGGCATTAACAGTGCCTGTTCCGGAATTCCCAGGATCCCTCTGGGAGGACTCCATTTCAGTTTTTGTAGGAGACTCATTGGTAGCATCTGAAGGAACAGGTGGATTCGCCTGATTAGAAGATGATCCCTTCAGCTTGTCTAAACCTGACTTTTGCTTCTCAAACATCATTTGAAGGTACCTCCCTTGTTCTTCTATCTGCAACTGCAAATTTCTTTGAATCTGTAGAGAAAAAGAGAAACTAAAGATATTAATGTTACAACAATAGACCCCTCAGAAAAAAAATTAGAAACTTCAACTAATGAAGGGTTCATTCAGAACTTTGACTATAATGGTGCACAACTCCACAAGGCAAAGATGGATTACATAATAAATAACTCCATTTACGCCCATGTCAAATTTAGCCTTAAAAACGAAATATGTTTTAGATAGCTGCTCTTCATCCAAAAAATAATAAGTGATTTACTGAATACAACCACCACATCACATACAATAACTCGGCAATAAAACCCATGAAAAAATACCCAGCAGATCAACCCCCCAAACTTGTCCGAAAATCTCATGACAATAAAATCAGTTTTCCCAGGTTCAGAATCTAATGCCATCAATCTGAATGCGAGCACAACAGAAACATAATTTCTGCTTGTCTAAAGGGGGAAAAAAGATCTCCCGTCCTCTACTTCCTCCAAGGCAAATTTAAAGGTAGATTCATTTAATTCAATTTTCTTTAAGTCCTAAAATCCTTCCCAACACAGATTCATACCTCAAGCTGTTCATGCAACTGCTTCTGAACTTCCATCTGTAAACGCAAAGCTTCAGTTATCCCCATGCCCCTGTTCCAGTTCAGAATGAAAAACGCACTTAATATGATGAACTGTAAACTAAACAAATCAACCGACTGAAGCTGCATCAGACCTTGATTATATGATATGCTAATTATGGATTCCATTTGGAGTTTTCTATAATCAAATCTTTGCAAAATGCAATAAAATGGGAAAAGAACTGTTAAACTTGCAGCTTCATCTCCCTATCAAATAGATTTACCAAGGAAAATCCATGGCAAACATTTTCATTTTTGAAGCATATTACAAACTTTTTTGTCAAAACTTGAACATGACAAAAGATTTGAACACAATCCAACATCAGTTTAAGGTAGCTAAAGAATGAACTAATGAGATGCATCAACCACCCATTCATGGTTTCAGATCAGCATTTCCGATATGTTGAGTATAGCAGACGGTTCCCACGTAGTACAGTTCATAGTTCATACAAATTTGTCACTAACCATTTTCTTAAAAGGTGATATTTCCCTGCTCGGAATAGCAGCATCCCACTCATTCATAACAAAAGAGGTCCAAATAATTACCAAGTATGCTACTCAAACATTATTAAAGCACACAAAGTATAAAAGCAGATGCTCAAACAATGTCACTGATTCAATTCCCTAACCCAGAAAAAAAATACCATACAGTATTAATAGAAATCACTGGCAGACCATTAGAAATTACTTACGCTTTCAAGTCCAGAGATGAGATTTCTTCCTTAGAAGTTAACTTCTTCTCTGAGGATCCTGCAAGCAATAGTCATTATGTCAGCTAAATATATAGAGCCACCTGCAATCACAGCTGAGAATTTTTGGGGATCCGATATGCATAATAGAGTCACTTAAATATTTATGATCCAATGACAAAGTATCTTTTGAGAAATAGGTAGTAGAGTTGGTATAGACATGTTCTTCATACAAAATGTCATACTTGTAAATTTGTAAATAATTCATCCATATTAAGGTATATGGATCCGAAGGGATACACAAGAAAATCTATAGTTTCTCTTGATTCTAATCTTAACAGCATCCATGCCAACTACAAAGATAACCAGTTTCATGAATATATCAAGAAGGGGCAAAGAGAGTGCGAATGAACAAAAAAACAGACAGTTAAGATCCTGGAACCGGCTTAACCAAATGGATTACACTTCATTAATGAGAAAAAGATCATCTCTCAAGTCTCAACAACCCTTCATCCATCCATTCACTTACACTGCTATAACTTTTAATTTATCAGTATGGGATGGGAGATTGCTGAGTGCAAAATAGACATGCATCATAAATTTGCACTGGACAGCTAATGATTCTGGAGCACATATAAGTAACACACATAAGGTCAAAGAAGAAACTTAAAGGGAGTTTAACATATACCTTCTGATGGCTCTGGTCTGTATCTAGCTGTCCTGTATTTCTGCAATGAAGATAATGGCATCTCCAGTTAAAGGGTAATCTAACCAAAGTCTCTATGCACACATTTAAAATATATATTTGAATAAAAAAAAGGTGTATGCACCTGCAAGTGACTTTTAACATGATATATAGTCAAGCCTTCAACTTTCATAAGCTTCAACACACCCTTTGGAGTAGCTCCTGTAAGTTGAAAATACCAAACAAATTAAGACATAACATAAGCCTGATGACTTTTGGCAACAGTTTCATGAGGAATGTAAGTAGCACACTTTCACTGCCTCCCAATTGGTTCACGGCTTCAACAAAGGCTTCATGAAGTTCTGGCGTCCACCGCATTCGTGGTTTTGCTGGGGCATTATTTGCAGATGAAGAGGGGTTTACAACACTTTGACTTTCTACAGATGGAGAAGGAAGCTGTTGATTCTGTGCAAGTACGGTTGTGCATGGTTTTTCCACCTGATATGCCATCTGAAGCAACAAGAAGGAAAAATAAATCAAAGATAAACAATGCCAAAAGGATTAAGTTTATCTGGATAAGCTTTATCTTCCATAGCATGAAAGCATCCACACATTTGGTTCCAGATTCGTAACGTTGTCAACAAGAAGCTCATTCCAATTGGAAGCCAATGCATCATCACCAGTGATAAGCTGGTCCGCCCATTCCTGCCAATCATTTTGTTTGCCCAAGTCCTCAGATCTTATAATACCACTACAGCTACTGTTTTGTACTTGACTGCTCAGAACAGGGGTGCTTACAGGAAAATCAAGAAAATCTGGATCTGTACACCAAGAACCACTATTTTCTTTGTTGCAGTGACTTGGTATTGTAGATTGAGGCAACAGTGAATGTGAAGATTGTGATAATGGCAATGCTGCAGTATTAGTTGGTGACTGAGATATGAAAGGAGAATTTCTTGAATGCTTTTCACTTGGTAATGCTGATGAGTAATGAATATCACTTGAAAATCCAGACGATGATGAAAATATGTGACCAACCACCCCATTATTGGTGGGAAGATGAGTTGCAAGGGCCAAAGGCCTAGTCATTAGTTCTCTTTCTGCATGTGCTTGTTGAGTATTGGGGAACTTTTGATATGTCTCTTCCAGATGTGTTGAAAGGGCGGGAAAAGATGATGATAATCCTCCAGATATCTCATGGTTATTAAGCTGACTTGCACCTGATCTCTGAATGGAAAAAGCAGGTCGTTCCTCCATAGCTGTGCTTAATTAAAAAAGATGGTGTCAATGGTTTGGTCAATCAATATTAGCTTAATTGGCATAGTTCACACTGTTCTAAACAAATCAAGGAGCCACAAAAAGCATCATTGTTAGTTGTTACTGCTTGCAAAAGCCCACAAGGCGAGATCATAACTTTTCACATCAGTGAATATCATCTAATAAATAAAAAGCTAAAAGTTGTAAAAAGCACGCCTGAGGCGCAAAAGCGCAGAGGCTCATTGAACGGGGCTTTTTCAACACTGAAGCGAGGCACGTAGCCTAGGCGCAACGAGGCTCTGAGGCGCGAGGCTCAGTCGAGGCGCAATTGAGGCGCGATGTGGGCTTAAAACCTTGTAATTATTACTGCAGGGCCTTCTCTCCTATGGGCCGACCCCCTAAAACCCTCAATCGACTGTCAATTGGCCTTCTAATCCACACATACTAACCTATCGATCGGCCACTTCTGAAAATCAGTCATCAGCTTCTTCAAAGCAAGATATAGCTTGGAAGTATTGCATTGACACGGGCAAAGGTAAAGTAAAATGTATGTTTTGTGACAAAATCACTTCCGGAGGTATTTATGGGGGTAAACAACATATAGTGGGTGGATACCGGAATAGTACAAGATGTCTAAAATATCCAGCTCATGTACGCGAGGAGATTAGAGAATACATGGAGAAAAAATGTCAAAATAAAAAAGAAGCGGAAGTTTTATATGATTTTGATGATGTAGACAACTTTGGGGATGACGAGGATGATGAAGTTGTTGAAGTTGGGGATTGTGAGACGGATGAGGAGGAAGATGATGACATACCACTTGACGATGATGATAAGGATGAGTTTGATGTTTGATGATGATTATCAGTGACTTTATTTGATGTTTTTTTATGCATGTTGGATGTTTTTGTTAAACTTAGTACTTGATTATGCTTGTTGATAGCTTTTATGACGTTAGGTTGGTATTTTGAGTTTGAGAATGAACTCTATTGAAGTCTAATATTGGGTATCTATGATATTTGAGTTTGATTGCATTAATATATACATGTATTACAATTTTTTTGGATATCATGCGCCTCCCTTCGTGAATCTCGCGCCTTTCATGCGCCTCGCGCCTCAAGGCTCCAGGACACTTTGCGCCTCGATGCGCCTTGAGCCTTTGATGAAAAACATCAACGCCAGAAATCTCCAGGGAAATATTGATACGAAACTTAAGATGAACAGGGAAATAAGAAGAAACAAGTGCTTACATGAATTGTTAGAGATTATGTTCAACAACATAACAATTTGCTTAAGTGAATTCCAACTCGGGAATTCCCAACAAATGACTTAAGTTCAATAAATATAAAACAAAATTGATGCAGAACAAGATCATGCTTGTTATACAGCTAAATAAGCTAGAAATTTATGATATGTATTCTAGATTCTCAATGAAACTTGTAGTATTTACGAAACTATAAGGGCATTTAAGGTTAAATGTGGCTCATATCAACTCGGGTGTTTAGGAAGTAGCTTATGTGGACGTATGTTCTTTCAGTTTCTACTAACTTTTAGTTATTGACATATCATGAATTGACATTTGACCTCAAGTGTAAAGATTTCCATTCCCTAGTTTCTCTATTCCACTCTCCTATTCCTCTATCTTTCCATTCTATTTCCTCTCCCTTTTTCCTGAAAATTTCTCTATTATCTACTCTTCAAGTATCCTTTACCTTGCTTGTAAAGAAGAACAATTGCCGGATATGCACAGAGTAGACAAAAATATTATAATCTCAAAATGCACAGAACAACACATTAGAGCAGAATCAAGTCTACCAGAAATCTAAAAAAATGGGTAAACAACAGGAACCAAACATCAGTTATTAACTCATAAGATTTTTGTAAAGCGAAAATTACAGGCTTTTCCATCCTTGAAATTAATTACAGTGAGAAGACATATAACCTGTTCCCTGACATAGTGATGACAGAATCTATATGAAAACTGCACAAGACTTAAACAGATAGTCCTTGACAAAGAATGTGATGCAATATTAAACTCTCTATTGACTATTCCCTTATCACCAAGAAGGCTCAAACTAACTTCATAATTCAAGCATGCACTATTTTCCTGTTTGGCTATCTCTAACCTTCATCATGCTTCAGATTTAGCTTTTAAGTTCCAAAAATCTTATAATATGTCAACATAAATGGCATTTCAAGAAAACAAGTTACACAACCCCCCTTATCTACAATAGTCTATCAATCCCAGCAACCTCTTTATCCATATTATACATACACACACACGCACGCACGCACAAATCCTAAGCATTAAATACCTACAATTAACTCCACCAAGCCAGCAATTCATATTTCAGGGGCCATTCAATTTATATATAAAAAAGAAAACCTAGATTTTTAACACCAAAAAACTAAAGCTTTTGCGCATAATCAGCATATATGAAATTCCAGCAAAAAAAGGAAATAAAAACGATGATAAGAGACAAAAATAGAACATCAGAAAATCCAAAAAATATATATGAAAATGTGAATTTCACCAAAAAGAAAAAGTATCCGTAAATCCCAACATGCAAAACATCAAAGGAATGACTCAATATTCCCCAAAAATCATAGCCAATCCAGTTCAATTACAACTTTTAACAGCTTCAACAAGCACCCAAAATAACAGAAACTTCATTAAACAAAAAACCAGAATTTTACCACAAAAAACGCCAAATTTAGCGAGAACAGGCAAATGGGTAAATCGATTCTTACCTAAAACCTTGACAGAAACCTCACGGGATCGAAACCCACCAAAAAGAATCGAATCCAAATCTTGGGTCACAGAAAGAAAGATTGATTGTGGTAGGAATTATTCTAGAATCTATAAGCGGATGTTTTTTCAAAGTTCCGTCACCGGCGTAGGCCAAACAAGGAAGTGATGGGTGACGAAGTGCGATTTTGCCTCGTCTATTGGCCCTTTCCGCCTATGAACTAACAAGAAAAGAAAGACAGTGGAAAGGCTCACGAGCCGTTCGTGGTGCGTGTAACTCAACCTCATCGAAGACGCAGGGGGACTAGTTGAAAAGAGGCAGGAATTGGGTGTGAGGACCATCTGATTGTTTACGTGGAGGGTCATGATGGATGGCTGGGAAAGACATTTGACGGGCGGCACGTGGGCGTTATTTGTGTTCGTGGTCGTTCTCAGTGGCAAAAGTTTGGTGCCCTCCACATTTTATTTTTCCTTTAAATCAAATAAATAAGTCTTTTCAAATAATAAAATAAAAAACTGGGTTTTTTTATAGCTATTTTATAAAAGAAATTGGGAAGGGAGGTTCTGGTGCCAGGGAGGTTCTGGTGCTAAGCGGACTAATATATGATTAAAAAATAATATAATTGGTTAAATAGGTGATCGATTAAAAGTATCATTGGAAATGATATTTGTGTTAATGATAATAATCGGGAATATTATCGTCGTATGTAAAATACGTCAAAAAAATATTGGCTTTAACATACCGGTTAATTACTGAAAATATTATCAATCACAATAACATAATAGGTAGCGCTTATATAACGTAATAAGTAACATTTTTTAAAAGCTAATAGGACATTAGAAATCCGATAATAACAAAATAGATTAATTACTTGATTTGTTATCAATATTATCAAAATATTAGGTAGCGCCTAAGATGTTGCCAAAATTTAAGTTGATAGAGACTTAGAGATCCGAAGATAACAAAATAAATTAATTATTAGAAACATTATCAATCATAATAACATAATAAGTAACCCTTATTTAATGTAATATATAGCGTCTATTTAAAGTTGATGTAGCTTTAGAAATCTGACGATAACAAAATAGATTAATTACTTGATTTGTTTTCAATATTATCAATATATTATCGTATACATTGTTAATTTACATATTACTTTAAAGTAATATGTTTCGAAATTATAAGAATCGACGCTTATATGACAATATCGATACTTGTACATTTACGTCTTTTTTTATTATACCGATAGAAACATTTACCGTGTACATTGTTAATTTACCTATTACTTTAAACTAATATGTTTCGAAATTTCACGTATCGATACTTTATACATGTGTATTGATATTTGATGTTTATGCCTATTATCATTAAACCGGTAGACTTTTACCGTTTTCATTGTAAATTAACATATTACTTTAAAATAATAGATTTTCGAAATTATAAGTATTGATACTTTATATATGTCTATCGATACGTTTTGCATGCAAATTGTTTGAGAAGCATATTGAAATAAAAGTATCGATAACGATATAAAAATATCGAAACTTATAATTTATGCCTATTATCATTATATCGATAGACTTTTACCGGTTTTGTCAAATTTCAACATGTTATATTATCATGTATCGATATATGTGTCTAAGGTATCGATATTTTATAGACGCTATTATTCAATTCTTTACAATTCCTACAACATCGATACTTTGGTACACATGCTTATAAAAATATTCATACTTCTAGAGTAAGTATGGATACATTATTATTAACATTTAAAGTATACATACTTTTAGAGTAAGTATTCATACTTTCGAATTTTAAAAAAATATTTCAAACAGATAAGTTGTATATATTTTACCGTTTACATTACTGTCGAAACAATATACATACTTTTAGAGTAAATATGAATACATTATTATTAACCTTTAGAATATTCATACTTTCAAATTTTAAAAAAACATTTCAAACAATTAAGTTATATATATTTTACTTTTTACATTATTATTAATCTTTAAACAAACCAGTAGATAGTTTAACGTAATAGGTAGCGCTTATTGAATGTAAGGTAGCGCTTATTGAATGTAATAGGTAGCGCCTATTTAATATAATAGGCAGTGCATATTTTATTTTACCATTTGTATTATTAGTAACATTTAAACAAATCGATAGATATTTTGACGTAATAGTAGTGTCTATTTAACACAATAGATAATATTTTATTTTACCGTTTACATTATTAGTAACCTTTAAATAAACCAGTTGGTATTTTAAGGTAATAGATAACGCCTATTTTATTTTACCGTTTACATTGTTAGTAACCTTTAAACAAACCTATATGCATTTTAACGTAATAGGTAGCACATATTTTATTTTATTGTTTACATTATTAGTAAAGTTTAAACAAACCGGTAAATATTTTAACGTAATATGTAGCGCCTATTTTATTTTACCGTTTACATTATTAATAATATTCAAACAAACCGGTAAGTAGTTTAACATAATAGGTAACACTTATTTTATTTTAACCAGTTAACTTTTAAATATAAGTATCGATACATACCTAATAGGTATGAATGCTTTTTTAGGACAATAGTTGGACATAAATTATTGTCGAAACAATATCCATACTTTTAGAGTAAGTATGGATACAAAAGCTATACAATTTATGTTTCAAATTTTTTAATAGTTCTTCATGTTTTCCACCTACAACCAGGGATTTAAATAGCGTTCGCGGCTGCGTTTTTGGTCGTGTCGTGTTTACCGCGATTGCAGACATAATGGATGCCATCGCGGTCACTACGGATGCCGCGATCGTGAATTATTTTTAATTCCGCACAACTTATCATAAAACATAATAATTATAATTATACTTAGAAGGAGTAATTTTTAATGATTTTTAGAATGTTTTCTAAGCTAGACATATATAATATAGTTTAACCATATAAATTTTAAAATTCCGGTAATAGGATAAGATAATTAATTCATGATAATATTGTGAACACATTATTATTTAAATTATTGAAATTAGGATTAAATTAAACAAAAATTAAAGTTAACATTCTAACCTATATATTAAATTATAAATTTAAAAAAATGAAAGGATGAAAAAATTAATATATTCCTTAAAAATATATTTTATAACTTACTTTAGAAAAATGGGCCCAAAATGTGTTGTTTTAAACCTAATAACCCTAAAATATTTTAATCCTAAACTATATCCCTCCCCTCACCCCGCACCTTCTTTAGTCTCTCATTTCTTTCTCCTTTCTTCTTGCTCTCTTCTCTCAACACTTAATATAAAACAAGCAAAAAAAAACTCTAAAATCATAACATGTTCTAGCCTAAATCCAGAGCGTGAATAATTTTCTCTTTTTCTTCAACAATCTTAAGCTCCGACGAAGATTCATTTCTCCGATTATAGTGAACTCCACTCTGGCGAGAAATAGGTTCGTTCTTTCTTTTTACTTTTCCATTTTCTTTTTCCTTTTGAATCTCAACATTCATGTATAAAAAACGTGAATTTAGAAAGAAATAAGAAAAAAAAATACAACTTTGGTGACAATGAACACAAAAAATCATCTTTTCTTAAGTTTTTTTTGCAGTAACGGTTGGAATAACGATGATTGTGTCCTGTTATCGGCGCAATCGTCCGTTTCCCGTTAAATTGCGGGCACAATCGACCGCAATCGGTGTGAATCCATGACCCACCGCAAAAACCATGAATAACGGTTTCGGACGGTGGCGCGACCACAATATCGCAGCAACTATAGCGTTTTCGGAACCTATTTGATACTTTGCCTACAACATTAATTTAATAATTTTATTTACACAAAAAATATTTGATTATTTAGATTTTTATAAAATATTAATTAGAATTTAAATTTAATAATTTTAACTAAAGATAATAATAAATATATAATATCTATTTTTATTATTTTAATTTAATAATAATATATATTGTAACATAAAAATAAATAATTAGACGTTTATAATTATTAAATTAATATCTTAAAACTCACTCAAAAAATAACCCTAAATTAATATTTTTCACACTAAAGTAAGTATAGATACTTATATATATATATATTGATAACATATAACCAAAGTTTACTAGTTACCAAATTTTTTAATAGTTCTTCATGTTTTCCACCTACAACATTATGAGTCTATCAACATTTATGGTAGCACTTTACCAACTTTATTAATTATCTTATTAAATTTCCGATTACACCGTTTATTAGCCTTATATTATTCTTACTTTCCTTATACATTCCAATTGGGAGAGTTCATTGTGTCTGGTATTTCAGACAGAAACAATAGTCCATGAGAATTTATTTCATACGTGTCAACAGAGGGATGGCTCTTCAGTTAATTGAACTAAATATCAATACAAGACAAAACAGTCAACTGTGTTTTTTTACCTGAATAATAGCTTAAACATAATTATTTATTCCCAATCTAATTAATTATCAAAATGATACTTATTATAGTTGTTTCGAATAAAAATACATTTATTTTTATCTTATGTGACAGTCTTAATGTAGAAAGAAATTATTTAATTCATCAAATGGAAAAAGTATGACTAATGGAGATTTGGTCATTATCAATCTTAATTTTCGTTTATAAAATTAGAAAAATATAATTAAGTATATCTAGATTCACATTAAAATTTAAAAACATAAGAATTTCATGAGATTAATCTTATCTCAACTTCAAAAGAGAATATATAAAAGTAAATATGATCAAATTCCAACAGGTAACATATCACAAGCAGGTATTTTTCTGTTAATATTTGCTATACATTTGACTTTTGAAATATATACACACACGGGGGGTCTGAAATGACAAATCCTATATTCTTTACACATCAAATTGCCACCCAAACCACTTATTTGGAAGAGGAGAGCCAAAGAGTTTCATGGTGTTGGATTCAGTTCATCACGGGAAAACCCATCGTCGAAGTTGAGAGAATAGCTCTGCAAGTCATAACTGAACCGCATGCTTCTTCTTTGCGACCTCCAAGCTTGCCTTTGCAGCGTCCACTGCGACTTCACCTTCCAAACAAACTGTTTCAACCCACAAGTTGGCCTTCTCTGTAGACTCATACACTCATAGTTTCCCACTTTCTTCCCCCACTTCAACAACTGAATTCTCTTCAAGATTTGCATTGTTTCAGAATTTTTCCCCAAGCTTGCAGCAATGATAAGATATATATATACATATATATAGTTTCAAATAAAGC